GGGGGGGGGGGGGGAGGCTTCTCAGCGGGGACGGTGCGAGGAAGCGTCGTCGAGCGAGAGTTCTCTGCGGTTCCTCGGACGGGTTGTCAACAGGCATATCGAAGTGGGAAAACGAACGATCCGGTCGATCCGCGAGCTTCCCTCTCGACGACGATTCTCTCGCGCGGCGGCGGGAGCCGTCTGTGTGTCTCTACGGCTCGTCGAAGGTACAGCCGGCGGCGAGGGTCGCCTCGACGAGGGGGTAGAGTCGCGGGACGGGTGAGGCGCGAAAGGGTACCCGGCGGTGGGGTGTGCAGGGTAGGTAGGTAGGAAGGTAGGTAGGAGGCGCGGGAGGGGGGTGGACAGAGGGGGGGATCGGGAGGGTGCATGAATCGCGGAGCGGGCGGATGGACGCGCGCTACGGACGCAAACGCTGAAATCAGCTCGGACGATCGATGCGATAAATGGATGCGTGCGATTGGTAGCCGGGAAAATCGATGATGAACAGGGGGGCATACCCTACCTACCTACCTACCTACCTAGCCGGCGAGAGCCGGCGAGCCAGCACGGCCGCGCCGCGCCGCGCCGGAGAGGATGGAGCAAAGACCGAAATATCGATTTTTAGGCCCCTACGCGGCGGTTCGTTCGATGCTCGTATCTGCCCCGTGCCCCGTGTCCGCGCGAAGCGCCTTTCAAAACACCGACGACGCGCGCGAGATACGCCGCGCTTCTCGCACGCAGCCTCGCCGTAGCCGACGTAGTAGCCGTTTCTCCTTGTCTCATTGTCATCTCGATTCGTCGCGATCGGGCCGATCGGCTCGCGAAATCGCGCCTACGAATACGCAATCGTGTGGGTCCTCGTAGCAACGTCATCGAGTGCGCCGATGTTCTCAGGTAAATCGGCTCGTGAAGGAAGACAGGGGAAGAGACAGCTTTCTCTCGCGCGTGCACATCCGCCGTTCGTCGCGATGACGATGATGATGATTCACGAGCGTCTCACGAGACGACGAGAGATAAGAGAGAGAGAGAGAGAGAGAGAGAGCATGTGATCGCGAGATCGGTCCTCGGGCGAGCGTGTGGACTCAGTGTGGATCCTCGTACAGAGAGAGAGAGAGAGAGAGAGAGTAACCCGGAGTGTTCCGCCCTAACCCGGCGTGTCAACTCGCGCCCTGAACATAGAAAAAGCTACCACCGTGAGAGTCAAGGGGAGAATCAACGACGAAGCGCGCGAGCTCGACGTCGGTGAAGAGAGAAAGAGAAAAAGAGGAAGGGTGCGGATGAAGGGTGTCGACTTGCTCGTCGGCAGCAGCGGGTGATTTTCCCGACTCGGGGTGACGTTTGGCACGCATCCCGAGTCCCCCGGGCGAGCTCGATTAACGAAAGCGCGCGGCGAGATAGCGCGAGATCGGCGAGTCGGCGGGAGTGATCGGCGCGCGAGTTATCACACGTTGCGACTTATCGCAACGCCACATTGATCTTTGTGTGTACGGGCGGGCCGCGAGGACGACGACGGAGTATATCGCCTCGAACGCGTGACCAAGGAAACATTTGACAGCTCGTCCCCGGAATGGAGGGCTAACGATCGGCCAGAGGGAGCGCTTCTCTCTCTCTCTCTCTCTCTACTTCCCTCCCCCCTTTCTCTCTCTCTCTCTCTCTGTCGGCCTCTGTCTCCGCGTGGATCCACCTGGCTAAAATCCATCCTCCGCCCGCTCCGTTCTAGATCGCCTCCTCGCAAGATCGTGCGATCGTAAGCTCGTGAAAGCCGGGGCGACCGGGTGAGAGAGAAAGAGAGAGCGTAGCTCGCCGTCGCGCGCGACCGCCTTTGCAGATAATTATCCGCAATCGCTGCTCGCGCGCGCGGGGCGATAGATCGATATAGATAGAAGTGCGCAAGACGGAGCAGCGATGAAAATGGGAGAATGCTGGTGTCGCGCGGTATATAACCCGGTGCCGGGGTAATCTCCATCGGATCGCGCCGATGACACGGGAATGTTGACACGTGAAACGTTTCCGCCGATTCGTCGCCGGTTCTCTCTCTCTCTCTCTCTCTCTTTCTGTAGAAGCGCGATCGCCGATTCAATCTTCCCGACCCGTCCGATTAACAAGACAACCCGCACCGACCGCGCTCGGCGCTAAATGCGCAGCGCCGACGATGACGACGACGTTGCTGTCGCGCGACTCTCGTACGCGCCGTGTTTGGTAATCGCAGACGTCGATTTCGTTTGATTCAGAAAAAATGGCCATCGCAGCGTCGGACTATCAGCTCAAGTGGCACAGCTATGGAGAGCATCTGCACAGCTCGGTGGCGACGCTGCTCCACTCGGAGTCCTTCGCTGACGTCTTGCTGGCTACGTCCTGCGGCCGGCACGTGGCCGCTCACCGATTCGTCCTGGCGGCCTGCTCGTCGTACCTCAGTCACATTTTCCAGACATGCCACTTCGGCGCGAACACCAATGCTCCGATAATCGTGGTTGGTACTTTCGGTTTCGACCACCCCGGGTCTTTCAGTAACCGAGTGTAATACGGTTAGCTCCGGGCGTTGTTATTATCTGTCGTCGTCAGAAAAGTCGGTAACTTGTAAATCTCAAGTTGAGTACTGAATACTCGGTTACTGATAAATAAAATTAAATATATAATCTGACTGTAAATACCGACTACGGTCGGATCTTGTATTTAAGATCGTCGTGAGTTTATCTTCAGGCGCCATCGGATCATATATAAATTTCATTGGCTACGATACACCCGACGATGAAACTCAAGACGGTCTTAAATGTAAGATCTATGATTAACGTATATTTGAGGAATTTTCTTAGTTCTCCGCGTTATCCGAGATACCGCCGTTCCTCTCTTTGCGTCACGTTACCGCGAAATTCGACACCTGAATTCCTGTGTGCCCCTGCAGGTGTTGCCCACCGAGATCGGATACCGCACGCTGAAGATCCTGATACAATACATGTACAGCGGGGAGGCGACCGTGGCGAACGATCAACTGGAGGGAGTGTTAAAAGCCGGCGATATCCTGCGTGTGCGCGGACTGTGGCGATCGAATACCGGCAGCAAGAAGGAGAACATACAGTCGAACAACCAGAAGATCGAGCGCGACAAGAGGGAGCCGTCGCAGTTGACCGGGCAGATACAAAAGATTAAGCTGATGCAACAGACCCAGGAGAAGGTGGTAGAGAATGCGCAACAAGCGGCCGCGGCTCAAAATAACGTACAGCCTCAGAAGCCGGTCGAGAGGAAGAGCAGCGAGAAAATCAGCGACGAGAAGGTGAACGAGTCTTCCGACTCGACGAAGAAGGTCCTGGAGGAGAACAAAAGTAACGAGCAGAACAAGAACAAGGAGAACGTCGAGGCGAACGGCAAGAAGAAGAAGGCTGTCAGCAGCGACGTCGAGTCGAACAAGACGAAAAGCGAAGGTGGCGAAAACGTGAGGCAGTTTTCTCTAGATTTAGATCAGAAATAATAACGGGAATAATAAAAGTGGAACTTCCGACTAAAGGTAAAGCTAACGCTCTTCCCCCCCTGCCCCCCTGCCCCTTCTCTTTCTTCCAGACCGAGCTGAATCTGGATCTGTTAGTGAAGGACGAGCCGATCGATTGGGAAGAGACGATCGATCCGTCGGAATCGCTCACGATAGACCATGAGATCGACATCAAACCGGTACGTGAAACAAGTACAACAACGAATCGTCCGATCGTTTCCTAACAGCAGCAAAGATCAAGCGAGTAACAACAAGTTTTATTCTTATTCTTCTACCCGCAGGAAATCGTGCACAGTGCGGACGAGGATGGAGAAATGGAGGAGGAGGAGTATACACCACTAACATGCGACATGTGCAGTCAAACGTTTAACAGGCCGTCGGATTGGGTGAGGCACATAGAATTCACGCACGCCGACATGACCGAGAATCGGAGGAAGAAACGGAAGGTACGCACACGTTTGTTCCGTGATACGACACGAATGATAACAGTGATACGAGACGACAGACACGCCTTGAAACGAGAAGGCACGTTTTCAGGACGACGTAAACGACGAGAGCAAAGACTTCCCGCCGTTGAAGTGCGATCTGTGCGGTAATATGTACTCCACGCCGCAGGAATGGGTACGTCATATACAAACGGAACACACGGAGGAGCAGCTGGCCTTGATGAACAATTCGGCGCCCCCTAAGCCGAAGAGGGTTCACAGTCACCAAAAGTTATGCAACATATGTCAAAAGGAATTCCCGAGCCACGCCTCGATGGTCATCCACCAGAGAACGCATACAGGAGAAAAGCCATTCCTCTGTTCCTACTGTAAAAAAGGCTTCAACGTAAAAAGCAATTTGCTGAGGCACCTAAGGACACTGCATGACAAATACGTACATCCTAGCTTGTACGGGAGTAACGGTAGCACGAATGCTTAAGTCCCCTCCTCACATTTCTTTCCGGCGCGTGTATGTTTCTGTTTGCATGGCTCAGTCGTGGAGAGAGAGAGAGAGAGAGAGAGAGATATCGTACAGTATCGTCGTTCTGTAAATTCAATATTATGTCTGTAGACTGACCGCGTATCTATACTGTATAACGTATTCGGATGCCAAATCGGTTTCACGTGATGAACGAACGAAGCGTCGAGGTCTGTGTGAGCCTCCACTGATAAATGCTGAGCGCATCTTAAAAACTTCACAATATGCATTTTGGAGAGAAATCTATACAAACTATTTTTTCTAAAGAGTAGTAATCGCGTTCTTTATACGATAATCTCCTCATTTTAACGATGTATAAAATATAATAGAGCTCCTCTCGTTAGTGACTTTCGATCCTTGAGTTTAAAAAACCAGAAAGCAATATCAGGGTTTTAATACCAAAGAGGCTGACTAATATTGCCAAAATGTCTCGTTTCGTCGGATCTTCTTTTTTTTCCTCCTCCTCTTTAATGTAGTGTGCACGCATATAAAGAATGTTACTTGTTTTATGTGGAAGTTTCGTTGGAGTATGAAAGACAAACGCTGAGTAACTTAACTACTTCTAGAGATCTGTCGAGGAGTGCTTGCGTGTAAAAAAATAATTCTATAGTATAAATCAATATTTAACGCGATTAATTATAATTATTGACTTAATTATTTAGCGATTATACGAAATCCAAACTATTTAAGATTTAACTGTATACTTCTAGGCTATTCCATCCATGATAGCCCTTTTATTCCCTCAGCTCGTAAGTTAATTATGTATTTTTATATTAAAGTAGCTTATACACAAATACGTATAAGAAATAAGATATTTGCATTAAGCAAAAATTTGGAATTTCGATTAGGCTAGGGTATATATATATATATATATATATATATAAGAGTAATATATAATTCAGAATTTATCAAATTTTTTGGAAATATATTGAGTTCTTCTTATATATAAAAGAGAAAACAATGCGATATTATCAAAATACTGTCACAGTCTCTGGAACAGTAACAATGTGAATATTGATTATATAAGAGGATGACACCATTTTGCTATACTAATCATCGTGTCATTCTACCTATGAATTTTAGTGTCAATTCTGCATTGCGCTAGCACTGTGACGAGCCAAATGACTTTTAAATGTAAAATTAAAGTAATATATTACCTTAAAAGTACTCTCTTAACTTTGCCTTACTTGTACCTCAAATACGAACATATCGGGATACTTGATTTTCTTATCAGAATATATATGAATGTATGGCAATTCTCTCTCTTCTTGGGATTACAGTGTCAAACCGATCTTTTCTTCGAACAAAATAAATATGGCGATATTAGAAGCATTAGACAAAATTTTATTTCAAATAATGTCACAGAAGTTTTTCCATGACATGGAAGATACTCTTGGTGGTTCCGGACCACCGAAGAGGAAGCGTATGAAAAAATTTGTCCGCCGGGAATTGAACCCGGAATCTCTAAGCAGACCGATGCGCTGTCTGCCACGTCACCGCTCGCGCTCATCAATTCACGCCCGGCCGTTCTCTCAATTTTCTTCCTCGTCGTCGATTTTAGGCGCCAGATAATACTTGATATGTCCAATATCGCCGATCTTGTATTCGCATACTAAAGGAACATCATCGGACATAGACAGTTGAACTTGATTACATAGAGGGCCGGCTTTCACGAAACAATTCAAGTAACGGCAAGCGAATGTTAATTTCAACGGTTCTTGCATGTCAATTACTACTGCTTCTTCCTCCTTATCCGCGTCCGTATTCTGCACTAATTTGATATTAGCTGCAAACGGAAAGAAGCAATACATATAACATTTATATAATAATTACATACATGTACATATATATTGCATTAATTACAAGCGTAATACGAATCTCAAAATTCTTAAATCAACTATATAAATCTCTGTGTACATCAATGCCTCGAACATATCTTACATTGCTTGTGTTTAGTTATAGACAGAGGCAGAATACGCCCTTATCAAGGATGAAAGTGTAAACAAAAGAAAGTATATACACAAGACTCGACCTTTGCTCAAAAGACCAGAAGATAAACGTTTCAACAATATATTAGACTATTTGAAATTACATTATCCAGTCAATTTCAGCATGAGAAAATGGTTAAGGGGACTGTAGATTGCAACAAAAACGTAAGTAGATGCGATACAGAAGGTATGCTGTGTCGTTACCTACTTGTATTGATTCCTAAAAGACGTGAGAAAACTTACCCGAGCCATAATCACCGGAGGCACTGAACTTTATTCCTTCCTTGCTGCAAGCGAAAGTTATGGATTCCCCGAACTGGCTTAGATCTCTGCATATGCGTGAAAATTCTCCAGACGGCATTTTGATTACACACGAGTACGACGTTTCCTAAATAAAAATGATTAAATATGAGCACTTGTATAATTGGAGTGAGATTATTTTTGTATAAAAAGGGCTTTACAGGTATGCCAAGGTGCTCTTGATCCATGTTAATAAGTTTCATCTCATATTCGGCGAGCTTGTCCTTGTTAGGCGACTCAAATATAAAAGTAATAGACTCAGGATTGTCCCATGCTCTCAGAGTCACTGTGTCTTCTGCACCGGCGCATCGCAGAATCTTTGACATGCTGAAAAACACAAAATATTGTTTGTCATCCAAATTACTTCAATGATTTAGCCAAGGATTGATTAGTCTCTCTAGAATTATTTTTCTAATAATATTTTCCATATTTCCCCGTTATTTTCTTTTTCTTCAAATTCTAAGTATACACATACCGCACGACCAATGTTCAGTCACAGAAATATAAAAATTTATGATACTTCTACAACACATTAGTTAACGATAATAATTAATATGTTGCTGACAAGAGAATAATGATTGAACTCTCGGGGTGTGTCAAAGGGATTTCGAAACGCTTAATAATTAGGTCTACCGGAAAGTTCTGTCCGTTTTCAAATTAAAAGAAAATAATACATTAATTAATATTTACTGAACAATATAATTCCCATCGTTACTAATGACTTCTTCCTAGTGTGATGGTAATTTGTGGATTCCATTTCTGTAGAATAACTCATCTTTGGAGGCGGAAAACTGTCCTTATCGGACAGAATTTTCCGGTAGACCTAACAAATTCTAAGAAATGTTTATATGCAAAAACTAAATGGATATAAATCCTTCTTTCTGTAAAGTACAAACGCTTTGTTCTGTGCTTTTTAAAAAGTGCAGAAAGTGCAAACTACAGAGAACACAGATCCCATGCGTTCTTTGTTCGAACGCTTCCTCGACCGTCTCGGAGCGCATAACCTCGAAATCGGTGAGAAGCTTCTTTAGACTCACCAACTGATGCTCATGCCCATCGAGAGGTTCCGATCGCAACGGTACTTGTCGAAACCGTCACTCCTGAGATTTAAGGAGACCAACGAGACGTGCGCACTGTCCATCGCCTGAACCTGAATTCCCGAGTCGGAACATTCGAACGTAGCTTCAGTCAAAAGATCTTTCACCGCGTCCAACACCTTCTTCAGGATCGCGCTTTGCACCAAACGTGCCTCGAACATCGTGCCGTCTGACGTATGTTGACCAATTTGACAATTTCGAGGAAATCGGTGGACGAGAAAACCGGGTCTATGCTAGCGCGAAGCGATGCAACAAGTATACTCACGGCTTCTTTTTCGGATGGTGCATTGCCCGCGCTCTGGCGAACGTTGCGATCGGAGCGGAAGTAGATGGCGCTCGTGAACTGTCAAAGGCGCATCCGGTGTTCAAACATCGTGGAGATAAATCCATATTCAGACAGAACAAATGCCTGTAAGAGATGTCTTAAAGGCATCCAAAAGGCGTTTTATTTTTTTTTTAGATATCTTTCAGACGTCTTTAAGAGATCTTTTGAACATTTCTTCTACCTGGCATGCATTTCCTTTCAATTCTACTTCTTCCTTTTCCCTTTAGTGCCCGTTAAAATATCTATCTCGAGAGTGGAAAATGCATAACACGATGGACAAGACGAATCTCTGTTTGTGATTTACGATGCAGTACGTAAAAAAAAACGAAATTTTTTCTTTTTAATTCACTGTTGTGTAGCACATGAGTTGCTTATAGGATAATAAATGTTTATATTTCTGCAATATATGACAAGGTTCTCTCTCTCTCTCTCTCTCTCTCTCTCTCTCTAATTCGCTAATTATAATTGACATTGATTTGTGAATTTGTATTTAGAACTAGGAGCTTCAGACGCACGCAATAATAACCGTTTGCTCGGCTCCGTGAGTTGTTCGTAGACCTCATTATCGAAAGAAGATATCGAATAAAATAAAAATCAAATCAACACAGATTGATTACTACAAAGAATACATAAAATAATAATTTTAATGATACAATAGCTTATTACATCATTCCTGGTTTACATAAACGCATCTAAGCCTTATATTCAAGTTTATTGGAAACAATAATTACAAAATGCTTAAGACTCCCAAATTGGTAAGTGGCAAGAACAGTAGGAGGATGAATTATATAATGGAAAAAAAGTGAGAAAAGGAGAGAAATATAGAATGAAGATGAACAAAAGAATGCGAGAAAAAAGAAAAAAGTAGTGAGAGAAAACAGAAAAATGCAAGGCAGAGAAGGCGACGTTGATTACAATTATATTTTTCGTTAATATTACGTAACTATATCGTTTGATTTCCTTAAAAATTATAAATTGATATATATATATATATTTTTTTTTTAATGTGTGTATATATATACACACACACAACTGCTTATTAAGATGTATATGTATAAAACGAATTAAGTGAATGAGTAAAATGGATGGTTTTTCGTCTAATGCACATTTCTAATGTATAATATTTGTCAGTACTTAATTCTAAAACACATCTTTTGGAGGGCTGCATCAACTAAAATATTGTTATTATATCCAATAGCGCGCGCCTGTGATGTTCTGGTAATATAAAAATTTTATAGGTATTGGCATAGACTGTGAAACATAAAAGACACTTTCTGTTTTGTTGTCCAACGTTGGTTGTATAAGATTTGCTACATAAACCAGAAAGAGTATCGGTGTCCAATATTATACTAACAAGTGCGAATGACATGCGACAAAACCAATTGATTTCGATATAAGCGAAAAAAAGAATGGCGTGATTTCTCGCTTTTGACGGCACGATTCAACTTCAACTCAGCGATGAGATAAATTGCAGACAAGAGCCTTAATTAGAATAATGCTTACACTATATAATATTTAAATACATGCAGTCTTATTCGTTACGTTACATAATAACTACACCTAATATGTACACATTAAGTATGAGACAACTTTTCAGGGGGGAGCGGCGTGATTACGAATATTGCAACGCGGTAATCTCTCTCGTTTAATTCTTCAAGAAACCAATATCACCGGTCATATTCTCCAACTCGCTGAACATTTCGTCGAGATGCTGAAACAAAAGAATGTCACATATCAGACATATACATAATCGATTTTAAGTAAATATAAATTTATTAACGCGATATGCATACTCACATCGGTCGGTTCATCCTTGTCATTTTGCGCTACCTTATCTTGCGGCTTATCATTGAATGTTATATTCCCGTCATCGTCGATATCTTCACCCTCGTCATCCTGTTCAAAGTCCTCATCATCATCAGAATCATCCGGCTCGTCGTCATCATCGTCATCGTCATCGTCGTCGTCATCGTCATCGTCGTCGTCATCGTCGTCATCGTCCGACTGCATGTTACACGACATATCCATCTCATCGTAATCTACCGGTTCCTCTTTGATTTCGGTTAGTATTACCGTTTCGGCGAGAAACGTTTCTGCCTCCGGTGGGCAAGGTGGCGGAGCCTCTGACGCTGAAGGTATCTGAGGAGGTTGCGAGGTCTGAAAAGACGAGACTGGTGTGTACTGAAATGCAACAACCAGCGCGCAACCGAAATTATCTTTTTGAAATTCGGAATTTCATTGGTTTCACATGATCAGTTGAAAAGCCTTTAGAATCTATAAATGTTTTAATATTGTTTGAGTTCAACCGTAAATTTTGTTTCTCTCGATTATTGAAATGTTCGTAAATAAAATCAATTTTAGTTAAACATGGTGTATCAAACAGCCAATATCAGGCAGAAATGGTTCTCCTTCCAAAGTAAGATTCCATACCCAGGGTTGTTGTTGCTGTTCCTGTACCGTTTTAGCCGATGTAATCGAAGTTGGTAACGGGGAGGAATGAGAATTAGCGTTTTGTTCCGGGGCTTGCGACATCGGTTTGCTAATTTGCGCCTTGCTGGAGTTATCCTGTAACCGCGTCTCCGCGTCAGTCTCTTTGTTTGCCGACGGTTTGTCGGCGTGATTGATCTTGTCCTCCTTCTTCACCTGACTCCCGTCCTCCTTCGCTTTCTTAACACCGTGCTTAGGCTCAACATGATTCGCCTTCTGCTCCTTCTTCACTTGCGCGGCGTTATTGAGCTTCTTAAATTCCTCCTTGACTTTCTTTACGTTAGGCTTGGGCTCGCCCGGAAGACAAGTGTTACCTCGCTGCCGTCTAAATCTAACGATAATGCTCCTCGTGTCCCACATTAGGTCGTGCGCCTGTTTGTAAGCTGATATCGACTCGTCTACGCTATTGTACCTTATGAAAGCGTATCTGTAACGAATAATGTGGAAATATTGCTACAAGAATGAAATCGTCCGACGATAATCTATACTTGTATGTTCGGAGTTAAAGAACCAATTGAGCTTACAAAAGTATCTCAGGAATCTTGAAATTTGTGAGATTTACGCATATTCTACAACTGGGAACCGACGGAACCAACACATTGATCCTTTCCCTTCCGAAAGATACGCACAGAACAGTCTAATTAGCTATTGGTAATCAACAACTCAATGACTCACCGAGTATTCCTCATCTTCTGCGCGTATCCCACATCTACTCGCGTAGCTGTCGGAAATTTACTCTTCACCTCGTTCACGTTAACGGACTCGGGCAGATTGCCTATGTATAAAGTATAAGGATCTATCTCCTCGGGCATCGGGTTGTCCTCGTCCCTCAACGATTTTCTCTCGACCTTCAGATGCCCCGTGCCAAACGCAATTTTCTCCAGCTCCTTTATAGCATCGTCTATATTTACATTTTCCGCCATCTGAATGAAACAATATCTCGGCCCGCTCGGGCTTTGGAAGTGTATGTTTTGTATGCCGGAATGAAACAATCTAACGATGTCCTTGTTCAGATCTGGATCGGGGAATTTAATGATCAAGCTCTGCGCTTTCACCGTCTTATTGTATTCGTTTTCAGTCTTAAGGGCTCTCTCCGCGTCCTCTCTGTTCCAAGGTCTGCTGGGATAGCTCTGGGACATCGGTTTCCTCTGCTTATTCTTCTTCACTACAACTTCCTCCTGAAAGAGAAGAAAAGACACGCTCGATCAGAGCTTTCCGTAATGAAACATCGTGCACGAACGACACTCACCGGCGCGATTTTCTCATCCTGGTCCTCCGTCTCTTCGCCGTGCCTGCTCGTCACGATTCCCGTTGGGAGAGGAGGTATAGGATGATTGGGTAGAGGGACGGTCATGTGATTTATGATAACGTCATTCGCTGTGGTGGTGTAATTATTTCTCTGCCAGTCTAAACCGAGACCGCTCGTCAGCGTTGGATTAAAGTACGCGGTCTGTTCGAACTGATTCTGCGATTGCCCGACCCTCGCCGGCCGTCTGTTTTTACGATGAAAGTTATTCCTCTGGCCGTACATGTAGTTCCTATTGTAAGAGAATCTCTCGCGCCGCACGTAGTTACCTCTTAGAGGCATCTCCCTTTGAAACGTGCTAGTGATCTCGCGCGGAGTCGGGGACGGTAAGGGGGACGTTTGCGTGGCTATCCAGTGCCAGGGATTGTGTGCGTGTGTCCAGGTCGAGATTGGGGTTACTTGGGAAGGCACTGGTCCGAATACGTGAGGCTGGGGCGGGACTCCGCTCGGCGGTGGCATAGCGGGCAGAGGCGGCTGTCCTGGCAGGGGCTGTGCGATGGTGGAAGGCGAAGTACTCGACGACGAGTAATTGGCGTACGAGGATGCCTCGAAGCTGTAGTTCATTGATTCCTGTTTGACGAAGGTCCGTTTGCATTCACTGTTGTCTTCCTCGGCCTTTAGCTTCAGCTGCGAAGAGAGAGAGAGAGAAGGAGAAGAGAGAGAGAGAGTCATGAATTAAAACGGGGAGAACGCAGCGGATCCGTCGGTTCCGCGAACGAGCACGAGGATAACGCATCAGGGCGATTGACGAGTTAACCTAGAATACGATCCGTTGTTTATCGCGGCGCGCTTCGTCAGCGAGTAGCGGCGCGTCGCGAGGCCCGTGCGGGGAGAAACCGGAGACAATTACCGTGCGCTTCATATTGCAGAGACACGTATATCGGCGTGCGGTGCGCGTCCTCCTCACATGGAAGCGGCAGCGTTTCCCGAGTTACAACGTAAACACATCGTACACAGCGCGTAGGTGGACAGGGATACCAATCTCTCTTTCTCGGTCGCGCGCGCGCGACGATTTTTGCAGGAAATAAATAAACAAGAACGACCCTGACCCCGCGGCGGCGATACGTCGCGGAATTAGCGCGTTATGCAATTCGTCGGCGATCCCTCTCCTTTTGCGCGCTCCGTCCGCCGGCGTTTCTTTCTTTCTCAACCTATCGATCCTGCGTGCCAGACGGACACGACGTCGTAGGTGAGCGCTCCAACGGCTGTCGCCGGCGGACTGAACGGAGAGGAGCCCCGCCGCTCCGACCTTTTATATCGCGAGACGAGACGACGACGGTTCCGTATTTACCGCGCACGCGGGAACGTGCGTTCGAATCTTCCACTTACGCGCGATGAGCTTCGCGTTCTATCGTTCCCTCCCCGCTGCTCCCTGGAGTTCTCCTCCGGACAGCAACGTCCGACGATCGACGTTTTTAATCGAACTCGCGTGGGCTGTGAGGGGAAACCGACACGCGTTGATCGGCGAACTCGGGACGACGAGCGAGAGGATGAACTTACATGCGAGAGTTTCCGTGGCTGCGCTCAGCTCCCTCCCTGGCCGAACTCCTCGATGTTTTGTCATGCTTTTCTTTTGATACGACGACGCCGCCGCGCGTATCGCGATACACGCTCATTATCTTCGCTCGCTTTCAAAACAATACATATGGATATAGGTTAGACGGCTCCTCTCACTCCGGATGTGCGCGGGTGACCCGACACCGGGAACAGTCAACGACTCGCTCGCAGTCAACAACACCGCGATTTCATTTCGAAGGTCGTGACTGCAACTGCAACGAACAAAGCGCAATCTGGCCCCGAAAAGTGGCCGAAAAAGGCGCGTCGTACGAAAAAGAAGCGTGGCGGCGCTGGCCGCGCTCCGCTGCCGAAGGTAGCCGAAGAGACAGTCGAAGACGGGGAGCCGAACGTGACGGTTTCGAGGCCGCCGCAGGTTACACCATTGGAGCGCCCGCAGCGAAGGGACATGGCTACGAGCACCACGGAGGAAATCGAGGTGCGTATCTTCGATGATGGGGGAGAACGATCGTTGTGCCGCGTGGATCGATCACCGCTCCGATGGCTCTTCGATTCCGACGACGAAAGGGGATGTTCGCGCAACAGCATGCTCCCGTTTTTCGAACACTTTCCACATTCTTTCCCTCCCACCGACCGCCGCTCCGACGTGCCGTAGAAAGTATCCTAGAAATGCGAAAGTTGCCGAACGATCTCGCCCGTGTTTGCGAAAATACCTATAATAATGGCGGTGGCCGTCGGTCGGCGTTTACAAAATATGCGTCCCGTTTCCGCACCGTTCGTCCGTTCGTACGTCGCGAAAACACACGTGCGTGTCGCGAGATACCGCGACGGAGCCGGGAATCGGAGAGGAGGGATCACGAGGACGTATAGGTTATGCGCGACGACCAGCTGAACGCGAGACACGCGTTTCGGGCGACTCTCGAAAGCAGCAACGTGGTCGCCTCGTAAGACCGATAGCGTGAACGTTGCTCGCAGGAAGTCGATCGAAAGCAGACGGAGGCGGTGAATTCCGGTGAATTTCCGCCCGAATACCTGATCAAGCATCCGCTGCAGAACAGTTGGACTCTGTGGTATTACGAGCCTGACAGGAACAAGCCGTGGGAGGAGAGCCAGCGGGAAATAACGAGCTTCGATACGGCCGAGGATTTCTGGAGGTAACTATATCTATTATCTTCTTTTCTCGCAGATACATCTACGGTAGGCGGAGTCTTTATGATTTGTGAGAATTTGAAGAGAAGAAAAAAAAAATGTTTTGTTTCTGCAGTTTATACAACCATATAAAGACGGCATCCGAATTGAGGCAAGGTTGTGATTATAGCATGTTTAAACAAGGGATCCGACCCATGTGGGAAGACGATCAGAATAAATGCGGCGGACGATGGCTGATAAATCTAGAGAAGAAGCAACGTTCTACGGATCTAGATAATTTTTGGTTAGAAATTTTACTCTGCATGATCGGGGAAGCCTTCAACGAGTACTCGGACGATGTATGTGGAGCTGTAGTAAATATTAGGCCAAAAGGAGATAAACTTGGTGTTTGGACCTCGAACGCAAATAGTGAAGATAGTGTTATGGAAATTGGGTGAGTTGAGGTATCTTGTAAGGCGCGACATTTCCGAATCCTTTCACCGGATCCTTGTTGATACGTTTTTTTTTGTTTACAGCCGCAAACTGAAGGAAAGATTGAGGATCACACCTAAAATGTCTATGGGATATCAAGCGCACAAGGATACCATGGTCAAAGCTGGGAGTCAAACAAAAAATACCTATACGCTTTAAATATTTTTCTTTTTCTTTTTTATTTTAATACTTATATGTTAAATAAACTCAAAATTTATATATATCATCCCTACATTGTCCAGTAAGATATTAATCTCAAAAACTAGTGGATAATGATACACATTAATTGTTTGAAGCATAAGTTTTGCATCATACTGAAGAAATTTAAATATTTTCGAGATCATGTCATATCGCCATTATCGTTGTCTTTCCGTAACAATGAAATTAGGCGGAGAAACTGAATGAGTTAAATTATTGATATTAATAATTTGACATGTGTAATATACAAACTTATATTGAGTGGAGTTCAAGTATAGTTTATGAAAATGATGATGCGCGGACGACTGTATTCTTCTGTGACTGGTGATATGATCGTGTGATTATGATGAGTTTATATGCTTGGATGCGTTTGTGTAACCTCATCTTTGAGCAAATAAATTCTTGTAATATCTTTGCATGTATTAGATACTCTTGTATATATTACGAGAATTTGCGAACGTTTGGTGAATTATTTATACAACACACATCCTACTTTTTCTTTAATGAAATATCAGAATACAATATCCATAGTTCTATTTGCGGCTCCGCCAAATCACAAGCTCTTTATGTTATTGAAAACTCGTTCAACTAACTATATTGCATTTATAGCTTTTTTGTATATATATTAGGAAAATATATATGCATGGTATCTTTAACAGAGTGTCATTTGTGACTTCTAACTAATTAAAATCTCTGTTAATTTTAGATTCCAAAGTTTTTTTTCTTAATCAAATATAATCATATATATGATAAAGAGATAACGAAAGTATATATATATATGATTTACAAGGAATTTTTAACTAAAATACCACATGTACGACTATATACAAAAGCCCGTATTCTGAATTCTTTTTTATCGATAAAAAAATGCCTTTTATCGATGCCTTTTATCGATAAATATAGCTTCTCAGCCAATCAGGTTTCCAAGCTACTTTTTGATGCACTTTTATCGATAAGAGAGAATTCACAATACAAGCTTGATTCAAGATCTAGGAAAAGAATTGAGAAAACAGATTACTATTCTTATCATACATATTTGTGAGCAACCATTAAATCCTCTACAAGTTCCTTGAGATCTCTGCGCCTTCCTTTGTCCAAAGCTCGTATTAAATTTATTGTCCAACACTCTTTATTAGACTGTGATATATAAATCTTCAAGATCTATAAGAAATTATGTCTTGACATCAAATTTAATTTTCAAGTTTAAGTTGTAATTTATATGTACAATTATATAATTTTTATATATTTGAAAATATTTATATATGTAGGTCTGTAGTTTACCTCGAAACTTTGTTCCTTCAAGTTGCAATGATATTTACTTTGCACAGCATCGATTTCACATTCTCTAATACCTAAATGTCTAGCTACATCTCTCCAAGAACGACCTAGTCTTTCACTGACCTGGAGCAATACTTGAAGAAAAAAATAAATAAGGTAAAAATAAAAATAAATATGTTTGTGTGAAAGTGGAGAAGAAAAAAAAGAAATTGAATAAGAATATATTTGAAATTTAAAATAAGAATTTAATATTACCTGCTTGTTGCAGTGATTTTTCCCTATCCGTTCTTTTTTCTTTTTGTTTGCAACAATATGATTTCTGCGCGATATGATTAAATGGTAGATTCATGTTTTGTACTGTTGATTCATGTGAACTATGTGCAGCATTACATGCATGATATGAATCCAAAGGTGATGCTACATTTCCTGATGTATTTTTATATATTTGCAGTGGTGCTGAAGCTACTTAAATAGAAATAAATTATTGATTCGATATTATACTATCGCAATCTAATTTGGCAAATCATATTATAATTTTAATTAACATGAGACATATCTGAGAAAACATATTTTACAAAACTTTTTTATCATTATAATTCTACATTAAATCTTTTCTGAATGCGAATTAATTAATTCATAAGAATTATTGCAAACTCTACTCACTATTATCACTTTGGTACATTTTATAAAAGGGAAACGATGGTGCACTCTTCAGCCAATTTTCATATTCTAATAGCTTATCCTTAAATTCTAGTTTGCCGATATATTTTAGTATAAAATGCAATTGTTCTATATTGTCACAACTAACGACATCTCGTTTCTCCAGCAATCGTATAAACGATCCGAGGTCTTTGACTCTGCTCAATTTGCGTCTTGAATCAACGTCATGTGCATAATTACGTTTCAATTGATTCAAGATATCACTGTTCACCGAAGACTCCGCCACTTGAAGAAAATCTCGACGAAGTGACTTATACCTTTCCAACATCGCGCTCTTCTGTAATCTTATCAATGCGTACTGGAGACGTCCCTTTTATCAAATATATTAACAAGGGAATACCCGTTTCGTAAAAAAAAATATACGCACAAATGTCAAAACGAGAATGGCTGCTGCGTTCTATTTGGACGTTCACATGACGTACACTCGGTCACAGAACGATTACGACAGTTTCTGTTTTTCGTATTTCGGAACGCACCAAAATTACGACGAAGCGAACCTATGAAGTGCCGATGTGGCTGTCCCTAACATTTTCTCCAGACACCCTAGAAATTCTCTAACCGACAGTTAGTAGTCTGTTTTTCATAGCTGCACTGCGGAATTAGTGCAGCTATGAAGAACAGACCATAAAAGACCACACTATACCTCACTACTTTTCCACCGAAAGCATGAAAGCATACCACGAATGACATTCAGGAACGCAACCGATATCGCACATCGTATTGCGGGCACGGTGTGTATATAATACTGAGTGCACGTGTGGTATTTCTAAAACGTGCAATTATGGATGAAGTAAATAAAGTACAATATCTCATCGTTGATACGAGTGCCTTTATAAGTAATGCTGCTTTACAGGTAATCATTAAATATTTCCCACCAGCAAGTAAATGCATATTATTTAATTCAATCTTGAGGTTAATGTATGGAATATTTTGATTGAAAAACCGGCGTAATTTTACTTCAAATATAGCTTATTAAAAGCCATACGACACACACAATATGAATATTTAATATTAAAAAAAAAAAAATATTCTTAGGACATTGGTGTAAATATCTTGACCGAACAAGCTGTGGTTGATGAAATCATAAACAAGAGACAATTAAGAAGATTGGTTGTCTTACCTTATGATTTGAAGGTTCAAGAGGCTTTTACGGAAGATGTTAAATTTGGTAAGTAAACATTTTTAATCGTATATGCGAAATTTCTATGTTTTTCTACTATTATTAATAATTCCTTCGATATATTTCTAGTAACTGAATTTTCTAAGAAAACTGGTGACTACACTAGTCTGTCTGCTACCGATATCAAAGTAATTGCGCTTACTTATCAACTGGAAAAAGAAAAAGTAGGGACGCATCATTTGAAAGATATTCCAACTAAAAGAGTTATTAAATCTAGCACGGACAAAGATAATAAAGATAATCTTGAGCCAATTGGTTTTTATATGCCAAAGAAAAAGGTAAAACTTTTTTACAGGTTTTTGTACATACGTATTTGTATAAATTTCCTACTTTGATAAAGATTTGTATTTGTAGGAGAAAACAGAATTAAGTACGAATAATGAGGCAGGAACTTCTCTGCATAATATAGAAGAAACAGGTGTTGAAGAAAATGTACAGATTACAGACAATTCAGCAGTAAATAACACCAAAAATTTAGCACTAAATAATTTAATATGCAGCATAGAAGCACAAAATCTACCTGCTTTGTGTACGTTTAATGCATACGACTCATCTTTGGATGAATTAAACTATGAGACAGCATCTGAATCAGAAGAATGGGAAGCGAAAGGCTTGTCTGAGAAATTCGCCAAGCTGAAGTGGGATCCAACAGATTTAAAAGTTGAGGGCGAGAATGAGAATAAAGATCTTGTGGATGATATCCTTGTTCAAGTTGATACAATAAAATCTAACCACGAACAAGGCAATGTGGAATTAATCGAGGATCAAGATTATGATGGCGATGACAATGATAGTGATGACGACGATGACGTTGATGATGAAGATGATGAAAATGAAGAAGATGAAGACGATGATGGTGGTTGGATAACACCAGGTAAGTTTGATTTCGTTAAAAAAATCTCCCGATCAAGGTATACGCATACTCTGATATGAGTTGACGATGATTCATTCTTTTTTTTTAAGGCAATTTCGCTAACATTAAGAAACAAATGGATTCAGCGGTGCTCGAGGGAAAGGCCGCGACCGTAGCGTGCTTAACGATGGACTTTGCGATGCAAAATGTACTCATGCAAATGGGATTAAATGTGGCTACGTTAGACGGTAGACTGATCAAGCAGATGCGGACATTTATATTCCGATGTTACGCCTGCTTTAGAACCACCAGCATCATGACGAAGGTGTTTTGCCCGCACTGCGGTAACAAGACGCTGAAGAAAGTGGAGGTCACATTGGATGAGAATGGGAAGCAACAGATTCACATAAATTTCCGGAGGCCTCTCTCGACTAAAGGAAAGAAGGTGTGTTACATCAGTCACTGTATAACTAATATATGATTTAATGATACGTACTGAAGTAAGAAAAACGAACAAGATTGAATGAATTCCCCTTTCGTAGTTTTCCTTACCAACGCCGAAAGGTGGGAAGCATTCCAACAACCCTATTTTGTGCGAGGATCAACCGATGCCGGATCAACGTCCGACGCGCTTAGCACGTATCAAGAACAATCCGCTCGAGGATGATTACATAGCTGGATATTCTCCGTTTATTATGCGCGACGTGAACTCGAAGTCGGCTATGTTGGGCATAAAACCCGGCGGTGGTGGTGTCAAATACTGGATGAAGAGAAACCCCAACGAATCCAGGAAGAAACGAAAATAAAAATTAATAAAGATCAATTGCTGAACCGGCTACTTGTTATTTCACGATACTCCAGAGATACTTGTATCTCGGCTACAAATCTTTGCAACGTATATAAGTTTACATGTGTGCAGCTTGTATTTATCCTACATATTATCGCGTGCGACACGCTGTAGACAATTTTTCACACGGATTACAATAGAACTGGATTTGTGTAACACACAAAACAATGTCCCCATTAGTATCTGTCGGCCTTTATCTCTGTTGTTTTGAAGAAAAAAAATTGCCCCGGGTGAGGATCGAACTCACGACCTTAAGATTATGAGACTTACGCGCTGCCTACTGCGCTACCGAGGCTTGTGCTACTTCAGTCTTCTCTGGTGATTGGTACGTTCACAACTGACACTTATTCGCTATGAATTGTTATCGAGATACAAAAATTATTTCCCATTAAAATGTTTCCAATTGTCGTATGAGTTTTCATCGAATGTCTCTCGATGGTCTGTTAATTTTAACACATGAATTAAGTAGAATGCTTTCGTTCTTTCAATTTACTTGCACTTTCTGCACTTTCTAAGTGCACCTTAAAGGTTAACCTCCTAAGGTTCCACCGTTCCCCGGCACGGAACTGTGTTGTTTTGAATATCGTTGTTATGCTCAGTCCGGAGACGTGGAACTTCAAACCACCGCGACATCACTTTTCTGTAGTCAGAAGGGATTACAGGAAAACAGATGTGCCCACTACGGTAAAGAATCATTACTTCAATCATTCGGTAAGCTCGAATAAATATTTCCTTCTTCTCAATTTTGCGGGTTATGTTTTCAACGTGTTTTATATTGTTCGTGTATGTCTATTGGATATTCGTACCAGGTATCGGTGGTGCTTCCCAACATCCTTGCCGTACCCGATAGTCTGCTAAATTCTCTGTCGGAAGATACCGATTATTATCGAGTCAATGCATTGCGCGCTTGCGATCTTGTAAATAGAGAATTTATTGAAGCCTTCGTTAAGAAAGGTGAGCCCACCTTATATATTTGTCACTGATTCTATAATAACAAATTTGACCACTCACGTTGGTATATACTAAATTCTTTGTAATACACATAGATTTTTATGTTTCACATTTGCATTTCATGTCTTTCTCAGGACAAGTCACTCTTCTAACTATAGGGAATAAGATTGATTCGGAAAATTCTATTTGTGTCACTCCAACTGGCTACTTAGTGATTTCCTTGATAACTGAGGATTATCAAGCATTTGGATTAGAAGGAAAAGCATCTGTCTTTGACCATGAACCTCATATACGTTATGGTAAGTCATAAAAAAAAATATATATATATAATTTTGAAAAATATATTAAAAAATTATTTGCTATATCGTGCTTATTATTTTGCCATGATACATATACATAGTGATCTTTAAAAAAATACTTCCTTTTTTCGTCTTATTTTCTTCTGATAATATACATTCCACAGTTGTAACAATTAATTTGAAAGAAGAGTGTTTCATCCCTACCAAGAAGAATTACAAAAGAGTTCGAGTAGCATTGGAGGAACGACTCAAGCAAAACTTTGATGTAATAGTCGCATGGGATCCACCAGGTATACATACACACACACAGGTTTCTCTTTTCAAAATATACTCACATATACATATATCTCTTACATGACATTAAAAATTTCTCAAGGAACAAATCTATGTCCATCATCCGTGGCGGCATGGTTTTCCGCACACGGCTATGACGTCCGTCTTTGTCGTCAGACTTTTTCTCGAAGAGCTGAATATTCATTAACAGTACCCACCATACTTGAAGAGGGATGTGACATCGACAAGTTCTTCGAGTGGCTTGGGGTCTTCAGCATCGCTGGTGATCTGTACGTTCATTTGTCGCACGCTTGAAGAAAATAAAACCTCTGTCCGTAATCAGTATAACAGTAAGTGGTATCTGATAACGACTGTAATATTTTCAGGTCCGGCGAAACGGATGACTACATAAACACATATAAATGTCCCTCTCCTTCTGTGAACATTGGACAAGTGCAATATCTACAGTGGACCGGGTTCTTCACACAAAAACAAGTGCAGGAGATGTACGATACGTTGAAGAAATACGTATTGTCGCAGGGTACTCTGCCGTGGGTCAGTTTACATGTGCAGGGATTCGCAGACAGCCCTGTCAGCTGGAGCTTACAGGAACACACGTTTTTCGTTGACGGAGACAACAGTTACACAATCATACTTCAACATAATGGTGAATCTATCATACGAAGAAGTTTATGTTCTAACAACGGGCCAAGGAGGTGACAATAAAGGAAATTTCTCTGACGAATAATTTGTAGTCTCTATATTTCCACTTTATCATGCTTCGTCTTCAACGTCAGCCGGGGCATTTGTGTGAGGAGAATATTTTTATTAACAAGTCATTAAAATAGACAGGCACACTGTGCGTAATTTATATCGTAATTTATTTTATCACGTAGAGAATAGTTGAGATAGCTATAAGTCATGCAGCTTGTCGATATGATAAAATACCATCTTATGTGTTAATATATATATATATATGTATGTATATGTATATATAAATGTGATAAATTAATAACATAAAGGGACAAGAGGTGCAATGAAAAACGGTAAAAGGTAACATGGGATATATACGTAATTTGACGTAGTTTGACGATTCTAGAAAAAAAAAAGTTAAAAAACGTATACGTATACATATAAATATCGAAGTTGTGTCAATATTCTTGTAATTTATTGCACAGTTTATTGTATTCAACGAATAAAAAAAGAGATACCGCCTCAGATAATATCGTCCCTCTATCGTTATTATAAATTACCCGGTAATTTTTTCATACACCACTTGTCTCGTTCATTAATTTATATTAACGATATATAAATTCTACGAGAGACACCTCCGAGCTATAATAATACTAATTTCACATTTAACCACATATAACACTATCCCGACTGCCTGAAGCCTATCACAAGATAAAAGAGAGATCTGAATAGACTTAATCGATACTATCAATCATCTTGCAACGCAATAAAAGCTATGCACCAGTGTAAAGCTGATGCTCATAAATAAATCAATATACGTATAAAAATAAAAGGCACTAAAATTGTAACTTGACTATACGAGATCAAAGCAGTCTATTGTATGTGTGTGTGTGTATAATAAAATCTTCGGTTTAAGCAGGCATGTCTTTGCAAATAGTAGCAAACGCTTTCGTTTCTTTCACGTCAAACACATATATATGGATGTTCGTATATAATGTAAAATATCTTAGGGGGAATCTTTTCGACAAGTCGTGTATCTACACCGAAACGTTTGCATTAATCTTTATATTAATACGTGGGAGCTATCTGAGTCAGTGAATTTCATTCTAGAATTGTAATATAAATCCTCTATACCTGAACCAATGGACATGCGAGACTTAGAACGTGCCATGAGTTCGCCTATTTCGTCAAGATCTCGATACCTGAAATACCGCAATGATTAACATCCTTCGCACCATATTCCATCCGATGATGATCGACAACGTTCCGATGTACATTTACATTCCATGCTCACCTACTAACTGGTCGACTAGGGTTCTCAGACGATTCTGATGAGTTTTTCATAATTGAAAATCCATCGTCTGCGTTAAATGACGCCGAATTACCTACGCAAACGCGATTATCTCATCGTAAAAACGCAACACAGGTAATCGGATGGTTTTTGTGCAAGAAGTAATGCGTAATTACCAGAGGGAAATAGTATGGTGTGTTTCAACAGATCACCGCTCATAAATGGAGACAGACTGTCATCGTCGTCCGGTAACAAGTGAGTAGCCGAATCTGTCGCTGTAGATTCAACCATTTCCAGCCATTGCTGATTGTGCGAACGGAACTTTTCCACCTTTATACGCGCCGCCCAATTCTTGTCGCACATCTAGGATACAACTGGACGAGTTAACATCTTTGCGGCACAAGTTGTCTCCAAAGTTACGATTCTAGATTACTCACAGCAATGACATCTAGACACGTATCACAGACTTTTCTAATTGCAGGATTCTTATCGTGCATTAGATCGATCAAGTATCCGGGGGCTTCTGTAAATGACATTGCAATTTAACACTCGTTCACGCGCAGATCATTCGAGCAAGTTGAACGCATTCACCGTCGTGTTAATTCGCAAGACTTTGACAGATTCAACAACCAGTGAAATTGACAATTACCATTACCAGTCTCCCGAATTAAATAATCTCGCGTCGAATCGTGCTTCGCGATTTGATAAAACACATAGATGATTTGCAAGACCATTTCGTCGTCCTCCTGTTTGGCTATATAATAATATCATAACATCAAAATGATGTGTTAGCACAGATATGATTTTTTTTTATTTTTATACATCACATCAGCTTTAATACATACCTTTAAGAAGTTCAATAAGGGAGAGAAGTATGTCAGCCTTACATAACAGACGAGCGCAATCCTCGTCGTAAGCTGCAGTACCCAAAAATATGACAACCTCGAGTACTAAATCATCTTGCGCCTTACCTGTGAATATAATGAATATAACATATATATATGTGTGTGTGTGTGTGTGTGTGATTATATAGTTCGAATATAAACTTTCACATATTTAAATTTTGCTCGACATTAGATGAGAAAAGAATCTTGTTATCCGGAAGAGACACTAAACCTGGAACTAGATTATTGCGTATCCACGGTATGAGGTTACAGCGTTGAATGATTTGCGAATAATCCAAATCGGGCAATTCCAGATTACCCAACACACCGATCACTTCCAATATAAAGTCCTGAGAGTCAGACTGCGTCAAGGCCATAGCAAAATCACCGACAAATTCCTATTGAATGTGAGCAAACAATAGGTGAACAAACAAGACGATTGTTAAATGATTAATATATAATATTATTGTATTAAATTTAAGGTCACACAATGATTTTAAATTTACGACAACTTACGACAAAGTTCTCCTTGGTCGATTCGTGCTGAGATATATTTCTGATCATTTTCATTATAAGGGAATCCTGATTTCTAAACGCAGTTTTTATGAGACCTTGTAAACGGTTGTTCTCCACCATCAACTGCGCGTTCTTATTGTTAATGGCTAAATTTATACCGAGAGCTATCAGCTCGGATCTGATATGATCGTCTTCGGAGACCAATATCATGTTGGTTATCTGCACACGTACGTTACATGAGAATTTTGAATATTTAAATTTATTCGATAATTTTGAATGAAGAAACTTTTTTACCATCGGAATACAATCCGTATTTGTGAACATCGCTTTCACTTTATCGTCCATACTGGCGTGATAGAGTAGTCCCAGAATTGTGCTTTTACTTTTAATATCAGCTACGAATATATTATGTTATCATGTAAAAGTCTTCATTTCATCGTTAACACGTTGAATGCCACGGGGGTCACCGGTGACCGGCGCTATGATGTTACCGCGTTTTATTAAATTACGTGTGACATATAATTAATTGCATCTACAAAATAGGTTGTACAGCCAGTAATGAGCTAATGAAACAAGCTAACAGATGCGTATCCTGAATTATATTTATTTACTGCAGCTTTAGTGACTTAAATTTTAACTGAATTTAACTGAACAAACTTTAATTGAATCAATTAGGCGTTTGTACGATCGATGGAAATCAGCGTGGCATTCAACGTGTTAAGAATTTACAGTTTATAGGCAAAAGAAGGCGGTGATTGATTTTTTTTTTTTTTTAATAGCAGTTCCTACCTTGACCAAGCAATTTTATCCATTTTGGTAACATGCCAACTCTAATCATTCGTGCTTTCAGCTTAGCGTCGAAAGAGAGATTAAACAGCAGCTTTAATGTACTCAAAACAAGATCTGCATTATTATTTTGCAGAAGTCTCGGTAATTTATCTATAATATTCTCTTCCACCTGTAACGTATCAGTATGTGCATCATTGACATATTTTCTGTACACATGTGCTATATATATATATATGTGCAAAAGATTATTAAATATTACCATGAGGTCTTTATTCTCGCGAAAGATGGATAGTTTCTTCAGGAATGTGACGACCAATATTAACAAGTCCGTGTTTGATCTATCTAACGTTTTGATCAACATACCGATGACATTCTTCTTGCGCATTTTTCTCTCAACTTCCATAGCGTTTTCGGCGATATTTAGAAGCAGATAAAACGCTACTCGCAGCAGTTGTTCCTGTTTTTTGGTTAAGCTCTTGAATTTCTTTCGACTCTTCTCGAGCTCCTCTTTTAGCTTCTTAACGTCGCTTTCAGACACGGTTATGGATGCCTCCGCGGAACGTCTCTTGAGTTCGTAATCTAACGGACCTTCCATGTTCCAGATATCGTCGATAATCTTAATCTTCCTATCGCAGTTGTCGTTATTCCCAGTTGGGAAAAATGTTAAACCGGTGGTACTCTCGAAGTACTTTCGACGTTTCTCCATATCCTCTTTCCACTGTTCATAGCGACGTAATTCGAAATCGATTATATCCATACACAGAGAACCGATCTGATACAGAAGAGAACGTTAGTAAAAATTCAGGCATTCGTTTTTGATTTTCATTATAGTTTCATCAGTATTTGCAACTTACCCTGTATTCAAGCACGATATTGTGAAACTGGCTATATGTAGAGAAACAGAAGAAGATATAAATGATATTCGTAGATAATTCTATGCTGCGTCGCCAGTCTTCTCTTAGGACTCTGGCTAACGCACTTAATAATGATTCTGCAACAAAGAGAAGAATCCTGTTACAGTTATAACATTAAAACGCTACAGCTAAGATCTATAACTGTTTTGCGTAATATTAAGATCACCATTTTTTGTCAATTCCAGAAGATTATCAGGTATCCTGGCTAATTGCAATATTAATGAGGAACCTTTAATTTTGCCAGGTATTTCTTCGTATAATAACTCAATGTAGCCGTCGACATTACTAATTACTGCACGTTCAACTTCGCTATTTTCCGTGATCACCGAATTTGACGATGTTGGTCTTGACGGCTGAGAATTGCTTTCACTACCTATCACAGGAATTCGAGACTCAATTAATTTTTAAGACAATACAGATATCGATATTGAAGTAGTGATATCGATGACTATTTTAGGCATTACCTATACTGGTATCGTTGGTCCGACGATTTTGTAAATAATAAATTAATTGCTCAACTTCGCGCAACTTTGATTCATGTATCAGCGAACATTTCTCAATCACCTCTTTGGCTAAGAGGGAAACATTTGTATCCGCATTTAAACTTTTAAGTCTGATTATTTTTTGACACTCCTATAACGTGAAAATAATGTAAACTTATAAATCACTATGCATTAAGACAGCATGTTATTTCACATTTTATTATTTTATATAAATAAAAAGATGAAATACATGTACCTTGCGATCGCCAAGCATAGGATCTCCCAATTCACCCAATATCAGTGCTTCAACATCGTAATTTACCACCAGAGCTTTTTCTGTCGGATGAACGTCTAATGTCCCAGATCTTACCTTCCTAAACGTTAACAAAAGTTGTGTATAAATGTTTCATCCTTCATATGTGTACGTAACTGTACACATATATATAAGATACGTTTAAAACGGATATAAAGGAATCATGTTTTATACGTATTGTAACACATAATCATGTGTTTGACAGATGATTGACATTAATATCTAATAGAGGCAAGAGCGATGGCAGTTCTCACCTTTTTAGAAATTTAGCTTCATCCATTTTTCTCGCCACGTATATGCTCGTGGTGTTAATATTAATAAATTTTCCAGACTAGAGTTCTTTTTTTTAATGTATTTATACTTTACGCATACGCAATCCTTTTTATCAATTTATCTTCAATTAGTCCATCTCCATGGAGAGAAAAACTGTCGAACACATCGCAGTAGAAGCATACACTGTGACTAATTAGAATGACACGATACGACGAAAAAAATCTCTAGACATTGGCGACATCTTTGTCTCTGAAATTGAATTGGGTCCTATTGGATATCGAATGCATCGGACATTATACTGCGGTCTAAGGCAGATATTCATAGTCAGATCTTATATTTAAAACCATCCGAAATTTTCATCATCAGATGCCGCATGGCTCATTTTATTGGCTACGAAGCATCTGAAGATGAACTTAGAACGATCTTCAATGCAAAATCTGACTATAAATACCAACCTAAATCTGCCATTGTGATTCATTCATAAAAATACGCCATTAATTCTACGGCGATGGTCCCGAAACGATTTAAAAGCATGTCGAGGGTTGTTTTACTCGGAAGCACTTCAATAAACAATATACACAAATTTACTGACAGCATGAGGAGATCGGCTATATTCGAGAAACACAAATTTTTCTAACTTGAGTGTATGTCAAAGTTAACGATATTATGCGTTGTTCTCTCACGTGTGTATTTTTGGAAAAAGAATCTCGCACATTTTTGGATATTTCTACATATATCTCTTTATATACAATTGTATAGAAATATTTTATTACATGAGAGAGGGAAAGAAAAATAAGAGAAATATTTCTAACTTTAACAAATTTTTAAACGAAGAAAATACAGATATATTGAGAAGCAATATGATATATTAAGTGTTTGTTATTCAGTGTATGCATTATTATTATATTTGCAGGATATTTACTCCATAATTTTGATGCTGAATAAAAATGAGTACTCGAGTGTTAAGTGATATTCATAATGATCTGAAGCAGCTTATAAAAATACTTACATCATATGAGGTATATTTGCACTTAATTATATTGATATACATGTATTTAAAAATTATATGGTATCCTATAAGCTATAAATTTGTATGTATATTTTCAGGAAGATGAAGAAGGGTTTCGAAGATGCGAACGATTTTGTTTATCAACTATCAAACATCATCGTTACCTTTCTGTTAACAGTCATGCGACAAAAGAAGCTATAAATGCATTGGTTACCAAATTCTCAATTCACGGGAAATATGAAGTTACCAAAAAATTTCAGGAATTAGTGGATACCTTTTTATCGAGTTTTGATTTTGAACAACATCCGCAATACGATCTGCAATGGTGTCTGTTAACGTTTCTATTGGACTTGTCTACTGAAACTCACAAGTCCAATTTGGATTGCTTGAAACTTGCTCACGGAGAATACAATTTTAATGTAACTATTGGAAGTAAGGATAACGTGGAAGAAATAGACTGGGCGCAGTATTTAAAAGAAGGCCAAGAAGATTTCTTTTGTGACTATAAAAGCGATGATAGTGAAAGTGTAAGTATTCGCAGAGAGTATAATTTCAAGATTTAAATCATCCCTAACTTTCGCATTCGCACAGGAATGGTCCGATGTAACGGACGAAGATGGAACTGAGAACGATGTTTCTTTGCCAACACAAATATGCAACGTGCAATTAGATATTGCGCAATCACCAAAAACTTCAGACAGTATAACCGACAAATATTCCTTGGTATTATTGCAAAATCTAGAATCTAGAAAGTGGCTCTTATCAAATGTACAGACAGATTGGTGGAATAATTTGCAGTGTCAAAAGTATCCTGTTGCCAAACAGTCTTGCAATGCAAATATATGCGATATTTGGTGAGTGTAATTTCTTTTTAACGTCAACTATGAGATGGTTACTTAATATTGTATATATATGTTTACAGGCAGGAAAGCTTGTCATCTTTGCACAAAGTAATTACTCTCAGCGAATATCAAGTGTGCAGAGAGCTGTTATGGATGTTTTATGTACAAACATCGATGGTGGTGTTTCAGCGAGAAAATGAATCAAGATTCTCAATACGTTCCAACGTATCTATTCCAAGTTTGACAACAGTGAGTGAATACATAATAGAGCATCACGTATAAATATCTTATCGTATCATCTGGATATGTTATTCCGTTATTTCCAGACTGCTTTCAAAAGTATCCTTTTACCATTCTGTGAATGCTTTTCAATGATACGTGACATGAAAAAATTTGACGCTGACTTACAAATGGATCAGGATTCGGGATGTCAGAGCCCTCCTCTGACTTACGAAGCATACAATGCCGCGCTTAAATATCACCTGCACGAATTTAACAATAAAATTATTGATGTTGAGAAAGATGTTATGAAACAAGGTAAGCCTGAGAGTTTGTAATTTAGTTAATACATATAATTTAATTAGTATATAATTTCTTTATCATACATTTATCGCTATTGCCATGAATCATTGTGAAATATCTTGTCCTTTCAGAGAATTGCAACACATTTCTATCGCTATCAGTTGGCCTGAGGAAACACATGAACACCGTAAAGATACTTTACGATATACATCAGAAAGTTATAACCGACTGGAAAATCAGCCCCAATTGGAAATGCGCATCTCGGCTGTTGTCTTTCTTGTATTGTGAAATGCAAAATTCTCATAGCCTAGAAAGAACGAATATCTGTACAAATTTGTATTTATGTAGCCTTACGGTTTATCTCAACATAATCGACACATGGTTGAGTGAAGGACGTTTGGAGGATTGGAGAGACGAGTTCATAATTGCGAGGTAAACAGGAAAGTAATGTGCTGCGTTAATTAAAAATGGAATGACTCCTCGTGTATATATTTTTCGTGATATTTACACCTGGAAATATATATCTTTTTGTAACAGAAGTGCGGAAGACGCGTTGGCGGAGGATGGTGAACAAAGTGAGAAATTTACGGTACGGTTGTACGATGATGTTTGCTCGACGGATCCAATCATGCAATTCCTACTGCAGAAAGTACAGCATATAGGTCACAGCATTGAATTGCTTGTTTCTTTGGATCGAATCACCGATATATGGAGGATAGACAGCGAAAGTAATGGTAACGTAATTACATTACGACAATATCTTTACGTTTAGAAAATACGCATAAAACGTATTGACTTATAATTTATCGCAGATATGAGAATCTCATTGAATACCGAGCTTCAAAATAAACTACTATCGGAGATATCGAAGTATAGTCCGTCAGTCGAAGAGACAGACGCAGCTGTGTTGCAGATAGATGAAATATCATTACATGAATATGATGATGATGTTGAAAAGAATGTGATACAACAATTGTCAGATCTGCATAATCCATTCTTCATGAAAGCTATGGAAGACTATATGCCACCTGAATTGTGTAAAAACGACACGGTGGATACCTTTCACGCAGTGGACGCGGCTCACACACGGTCTGATACACGCAACTCTCAAATGAGAGAGGATCAAATACATAATTTATATAAAAAGTATCTATATGCACAAAATATATATTATTCGCGAACGGGTATTCAGATAACTTATATGCACACATCTGAAAAATAGCAAGTAATATATATATATATATACATTTTTTTTTCTAGGTTACAAAAGATGAAGTATATTTTGCCACTGCGAAACGTCCTGGAGAATACATTATCCGAGATATTGATTTTCCGCTACAACAGTGCTAGCAAATTAGTAAAGAACATTATGGTCGAGGAATACAAGCTGCAGACGCATCTGAAACTATTGAGATTCGTTTACATGATGGAAGCTGGGCATGTCATGAATAAATTTTGCCAGGTTTTGTTTCACGAGGTGAGGTCAATGGAAGTATCGCTCACTTACATGGTGGTGTAGATACGTAACATTCTTCAAGTTCAACATTACGATCACTTGTTCCAGATCGAAAACAATCAAATGTGGTCTAATTCGTATTTTCTATCGTGTATCCTCGAGGAAGTGTTTTCTCAATATTGGCCGGACACGAGTTTACGCTGGTCCATCACGGTTCATCACAGTAACATTAATACTCGTCAAGTACTGCAGGCTGTAAATAATATAACACTGCATTACACGGTGGAGTGGCCTATAAGCATAATGCTAACTGAAAAGGTCCTGGAAAAGTACAATGAGATATTTCGATTCCAGCTGAAATTGAAGTGGGCTTTGTGGACGTTGAATAATTTGAGATTTTGCGGTAAGAGATAAGTTCGACCTCGCGTGTAATATTTGGCAGCGACTTGGTCTGCGTTACATTAATTGCCTCCTTTTAGATCTGGAAGGTTCCAAGTCCCCGTGTATACGGGACAGGCTGGAACAGTTCCATGTGAGACGTATCGAGAGCTTGAAATTTTGGTTACTGCACGCGATAGGATCTATACACACGTACATATCAGGTCAGGTGTTGCAAAGCCTAGGTTTCATACTGGAAAAAGTTCTGGCCCAGGCGGATAATCTCGATACAATTATATCAGGTGATTTTATCGTGTTTGATGTTATCTCGACGGAGCTGAATTCGTTTAATTTGTCAATTTTTTTTGTATGCTTGTGAAATGTGAGGTTTCTACGAGAGAACGCAAAGATGAGCGAAGATAATTTTAGTGATTCTTAACAAACACGAGCGATTAATTTACAGTGCACAATGAGTACTTGAGCAAAGTTCATGAGCATTGTTTGTTGACGGAAGAGTTCGAAGATCTAATGACAACCATAAATAATGTATGTATACACACACACACACACACACATACACACACAACACACACACATATATATATATATATATATATATA